TATACTCAAAAAGAGAACATTACTCTTGGATGACTGATTAATTATACACTGAAGAAAATAGAGGGTTTTGGAGGGATAGCCTCAATTTCCCTGGGAGGGTATCAAAAATGACGGTGATAATATTGCTCTTTGGGACTGAGTATGAGACTTAAGAAACTAGGCAGGTTTTGGGGCTTCAGATTTCCAGAGACAATTAAAGTGAGTCCTTGGTGAAACTGATGAAGTATTGGATTTGGTCTATGACAGGTGAAGATATACCTATCATACAGGCCTCAGCTGGGAAGGACTGTCAGCTAGGTACTAAATATAATTTTCTCAGACTCTCCCAGTGAGAGTCTAGGGGATATAATTGGAAAAGGTTTTAAAGGGGGAAAGTGATGAATACGGAATGTTGCAGTTAATTAATGAAGCATAAAGTTGGAAAGACATATTAACTTGTCAAGAAGGCGTAAATGAAAAGACAAAAGGATAGAGTTTGCAAGAACAGCTGGGGTGTGTCTATCAGGGCAAGGGAAGCTGATGAGAGGTGATACAGGTGGCAGGTCTGGAGGGCGATGAGCCTCTGTCTTCCTGGAGCCCGTGTGCATGAAGGCACATCTCCCCCAGTGTGAGAACACAGGGCCACAACTGAGCAGAGCAGATATTGGAGAATAAATTCATTTGGTGGCTACTATACAGAAAGCGTTCAGGAATTCTAAATAAGACAATGTTTACAAATTCAAGGAGAACATAAAGCCAGCGTAGAATGGGAAACAGAGGGAGTGAGGAGGAAATATCCACTGCAAAGACACTTCAAAATGTTTGTGGAAAAATGGAATTAAAGTCCAAGTTTATTGTGGTGCAAAACATTTTTGAAATCCATGCTCAGTTTTTTTTTCAATAAAATGCATTTTTCATGAACTTTTTGAAGACTTCTTCATGAATTGAGGGTCTATTAGACAGAAAGAAACTTCAGATACAGCTCTTCTGACTACTCTGTAATAGCTCAAGTTTCTAATGCATTTGTCTCAATTTTCCCCATCAAAATGTATATTAACCATTTATTAAAGGATGCAGAGTAGCAAACATGAAGGACAAATAAGTCTAGAGCCCCATACAACAATATGCAACATGGGGACTACAGTTAATAAAATCTCATTAGTGCTTTTTTTTTTTTTTTTCCAGAGAGGTTTTTGCTATAGGGCGTGTGCACTTGTCAGACAGACAGAGTGAGACAGAGAGACAGAAAGCGAGAAATCACCCCCCCCCCCGAGGGGATGGCCACACCACAATCCCTTCTCCTCCATCTTCCTCTCAGGATCCTGGGCACCCACACACATGTGCCTGGCGTGAGTTCTAAGCCACTAGATCAGGAACTCAAACCGCGGTCGACCACATGGGAGTCCAGCGACATAGCCATTATGCTAACTGCTGGTCCCTCATTAGTGATTTTTGTCAAATGTGTAGTTTTTAGCTATTCTTGTCATATACACAAAAAAACTATGTGAGATAATAAATACATTACTCTACTTCACGATCATGAACATTGTACTTTGACTATCTATATGTATCCCATCACATCATGTTTTAAGCCTCAAGTACACACAATAAAATTTATTTAACAATAATGAATTAACATGTACAACAGATACACTTGACTTTCACCTATGATGGAGAACTTCTAGTTTCTAGTTTGCTAATTTCTATATCATTTGAGTTCCTACATATATATTACTTGCATAGTAAGTAAAAACTAGAAAATTTCTATTAGAACAGAGTTACTGTCCATGGATCTGCCAACCTGTGCCTCAAAATGATAACTTGAAGGGGTATATTCTTGTTTTTTTTGTTGTTGTTGTTTGTTTTTAGAAAGAGAGTTTTTTTTGTTATAGGGTGTATGTGCTCACCAGAAAGACAGAGAGATAGAGAGACAGAATAAGAGGGAAATCGCCCCCCCCCCCCGGGAGGCATGGCCCACCACCACTCTCCCATTTTCCTCTCGGGATCTTGGGCACGCACACACATGCACTCAGCGTGAGTTTTAAGCAGCCAGTCTGGGACTCAACCTTTGGTAGACTATGTGGGAGTCCAGGGATGTAGCCATTATGCCATCTGCTGGTCCCAAAGGGGTATATTCTTGTTAAGTAAAAGGTGGCAACAGTAGTCATGAAAATAATAATAGATAATAAATGTATTTTACAGAGCATATTACACGTTACGCTCACATTTCCTTAAAGGCTAGGCTTAATACCTAATCATCCACTGTAAATGAAATTATGCCATGAGAAGTATGGCCCCACTGTTTCTCACACAACCAGCAAATCTATGAAGACATATCAGGGTTTGGAGGCTCACATAATGGGTGTGAATGAGATGAGCAGGCAGGGCCACTGGAACCTTCCAGCCCACTCCATTTGCCACCTATGACATAATTGTTACCTTAAGACCAAATGACTTAAATTCCCAGAATTTGCCTATTGACTCTTCCTATAATCCTTCATTTAGTCTAGCTCCATGGTCCTCGGACTTAGTATACATAGGAATTCCCATCCAGGGTAGCACTCACGAAAACAGGTGTTTTAAACTTTATGGGTGACTTAAGGGATTTTCAGAGATAATTTTGTGCTTAATTTTTTTCTTCCTTGCTGATGTTACAACCACTCTTTCTTTGAATAATATGTGAGAGAATTGTCAGGAATATAATTGAGGATTCCCTGGGCCCCTGAGAAAAAGAATTAGAAAACTTCCTGTGGTCTGGATCCCTTTTCAACCGTCCCAAACTAGCACACATAGAGTAAATGTTTAAGTGGCTTTAGCCTGACTGGTAATCCTACAAAGGTATAGGTGTCCATCCTTTATATTTTCTAAATGAGGATGGAGTCTTGTTACTAAAGCCATCAAACCTTGTTGTTAATTACACAGATGAGCATGGCCACTGTAACTTGAAGAGAAAATCAGAGAATTTGAAATGTAACCACTGACGAGCAGATTCTGAGAATGAGCAGAGGCTTCCTGGCCCTTTATGAGAGGAGTGGACATAAATAATGAAATAAGGATGGGCTGCCAGCCAGGTGTACTCTCAACCCCAGAGGCAAGAGTGATAGAGAAGGTGGTAGAACCAGACAGGTTAGGAGCCCAAGACAGGGGGTGAGAGACTTCACAAGGAGAAGTCAGGGCCCTCACTTTGCTTGTTCAAGTTCTGCCACACCAAGAGCTTCCTTAGGTTGAAGGGGAGGAGGTAGGAGCTGAAAGTTGGCCTGAGTCTCCTCCCCCTGTGCTGGACTCAGTCTGAGGGCTTGGGGATTGGAGGAGGGGCTGCCTTTTCGGAAAATGCTCAGAGGTAACATACAGGCCAGCAGGGGGCCTGGGAGGATGTTTCCTTCATGTATTAATTATTCAACAGGTTGAAGGGTCAGTTACTTAGACAGAATATCTCAGTTTCAAAATGGCTGTGAGGATCATATTTTAAAATGCAAACTCACATTTATTTTCTCATGTTGAATACCTCCTTTTCTGTCTGTCCCTGTTGGGAGAGAGGTGGATTGCATTCAAGCAGGTCCTCAGTTCTGTGAGATTTTCATAATTAAGGGAAGAAATGGAGCATGGCAGGAAACAAGAAGTGATCATGAACTGTAGCTTTTATTTTACAAAAATTCCAATAGTGAAGGAGATACGTAGAGACTTGCATGAAAAGAGAAAATGTCTTGGTAAACAAAGGACAAGCAGGAAGTTTCCTTGGAATATTGGAAGGGGAGAGAGTAGAGGAGAGAGGAGGGGGAGAGAGAGAGAGAAAGAGAAGATAGGATCTAAGAATTAAAAAAATACAAAATGAAAAAACAGAGTCACCCGAATATACATTCTGAGATTATATGCCCCACCACCATGTCCAGTGGCACGATCAGTCATGGTTCATGTCTACTGTGTGCTGGATACTGTGTGAAACATGTTCACATCTATGAACATGCAGTCTTTGCATACATAGCTCTGCAAGGCAGAGGCCATAGTATAACTGGGGACAAGGACACAGATGGTCAGCCTAGAGCCAGGGAGGCAAATCCAAATCTGTTTTCTTCCTGTCTATATACCTGTTCTTAGTGATGGGTGCTTAAACTCAGGGCAAAGGCAAAACACTGGGGTTCTCAGAGAGTTTTTTTTTGTTTTGTTTTGTTTTTTTAAGAAGAGCTAGTACATTATGTTACAGAACTGGGTCTGTCTCGTTGCTGCAAGCAAAGTATATGAATAATACTGATACCCAGAAAAAGAATCCACTTATCACTAGACTGAAAGAAGGAAACTCTCAGGCAAAGAAAGGAAGTCTCTAGTCTAAAATCTGTTCTCACCACAATAGAATTACAGCATCCAGCTCAGACAACACGACTTCTAACCCTATATCAGATTTCAGAAGCCTTTTTTCAGAGATGCCAGCATTGACTATATTTTCTATATACCATGGTAAATTTAGATTAAAAACAAATAGACCAACCAACCTATGGGCATGTAGATATTTTGACTGGCCTATGTAATTTCCATTCATTTATTTTCGTGGATACTTCTACCAAGTCTGATTCACTCTTGTGCCTATATATATGTCATTAATCTAGAAACGCTAGCTCCTACACACACACACACGCATGCAAATACACAATCAGTTCCCAAATTCCCACCCAAGTTTGAGCAAAAAGGTACATATATTAGCATTTCTTTGAAAAAAGCTGTCAATCTGCTTCCATAGCTTAGTGGTTAAGGGAGTCAGATCCCACATGGCCAACTTTGGTTTGAATTCTGGTCCTCGTAGCTTAAAAAACACGCTAGGCAGGTGTTCCCCAAATCCAATAGGATAGAGAAATCGAGGAGAAGGGTTTGTGGCATGACCACATCCACTGGGGGGTTTTCCTCTCTCTTTCTTTCTCTCTGAAGAGCATACATACCCTCTAGCAAGGATGGCGTTTCAAAGGCCCTGCCCTTATTTAAATACTTCTATTTGGATACACAGTAAATTCCGATTCACAGGACTAGGTTACCTGGTTAGGATCAGGATCAACTTCATCCCAGTTGTGAGTGAGATGGCCTTGATCAAAGGATTCAAAGGGCTTGTGAGAAACTGAAGGTAGAATTCTGTACAACCAGCTGGGGTAAACAAGAACACAGAAGACTTAGGGTAATGTTCTCTGTGATTAACAGACTGGCCCAGGAAGTCCCATCAGGAAGACACTCAAGATAACACTCTGGGGGCTTGCTGAGAGGCTGACATAGCATCTCTCCTAACTGGCCACTTGCTGCCCATTGCCCTGGCCTTTTCTCATCTTTCCACTCCACCCACCACTCTTCAGGTTGTTAGTCTCATGCAGCCAAAACAATGAAAAATTGTCTTTCCCAGCAACTGTGAAAGAAGAAGTACTTTCAGGTTTATCTGTGTAGGAAAAGCCATAGAAAATATATACACTGTAGGTTACTAATCCTTGCTCTGGAAGGTAAGGAGAATGACTTCTATGTTGATTGATAAAATGTGGATGATATCTGTATTTTAAAAATCTAAATAGATTTTTTTCTCTCCTATAATTGTGAAAGTAAGACCCACCAGTGGTAAAAATAATTTAAGTAATTCAAAGGTCCTGAAAAATAAATGACTTTTTTTTTTTTTTTTTGCTATAGGGCACTTGTGCTCGCCAGACAGACAGACAGAGAGAGACAGAGAGACAGAAAGCGAGAAATCACCCTGCCAGGGGGTATGGCCACACCGCAATCCCTTCTCCTCCATTCTCTTCTCAGGATCTTGGGCATGCATGCACACTTGCCTGGCTTGTGTTTAAGCCACCGGGTCTGGGACTCGAACAGAGGTCAACTACGTGGGAGTCAGAGACATAGCCATTACACTAACTGCTGGTCCCAAATAAATGGCTTTTCATCCTCCAATTTCTTTGGGGCTATTCCTCAGAGACATTAGATGCTAACACTTTTATTGTAATTCTCTCAAGTATTTCCAATGCACACATAAGCAAAATTGCCAAATATCTGATGACTATATTTTCATACCAATAGTGTGTAAGAGTGCCTGATGACCTATATCCTTACAAATATGGAGTATTATTTCATATTTCCCTTATTATGAATAAAGTTGATAATCTGTTCATTTGTTTACTGGGTCTTTGTACTTTTTCTATGAATTATTTATATAATTCTTTTTTTTTCTATTGGGTTGTCTTTTTGATATTAATTTGGAAGAGATTTAAGTAACTTCTATACTTTGAAATTATGAGCACATGGCCATGGTTATTATAATACATTTACGACTTTGTTTGTTTTTCTTTCTTTTCTTTTAGTTTTTAAGTTTCACTATATTCATATGTCAAGGCCTGATCCAAAAATCTTTCTGCCAGGATCAGATCTCAGGCTTTAGAAAAGGAAGAAGACCCTGATGAAGAAATCCTGGCTGATTCCTCCAGGTGAGGAGAACATCAGGTGAAGTTGAGGAGGACACTGAAACTAAGAGATCCCCAAGTCCTTCTAGAGGCCATTACCCCATCAAGGTGCAGGAGGAAGAGGGACCCTACTTCTGATGATCAAAGACCGGATTTGCTTTAAAAGGCTTTGGCCCTTTAAGCCCAAAGACAGCCCATCTCAGTGGATGGAGTTGTCCTGGCCCAAAAAACAAAAAAGAGCCATCTAGGAAATAAATGGGCTAGATCCATTCAGTTTCCATTTGATTCTTCCAGTTCTTGATGATCTGACCTCAGACACTGGCCTTACCGAGCCTCTCCAGCTCCCAGTAGTATGTGGCATCCAGTGTATGTGCATATGTCTAAGAAACAGCTGTGTAACCCTGGGTGCCGTGTTCTTCATCCTTATCTTCTGGAATTGTTGCAAGGACTCAAGGAATTCGTGTACTTAAACTGGCATACAGTTGGTGCTCATTTAGCAGATGCTTGTTGAATTGTCTGTCCTTCCTTATTATCTGGATTTTTGTCACAGTCCAAATTGTCCATATTTTCTAGCCTGACTCTCACCCAAAGATTCAGTTAACTTACCTAGTAAAAATAAATCCCCGATAGACAAACTCACTAATAGTTCTGTGGTGGCTCTGAACTCTGTGCCTTAAGCAGTAACTAATAATTTCAGGCTGGGCCACCTATGGATGAGACTAGTCCCATCTTTCCACTGGGAATCTGGAGCATTTTCACAACATTCTTGTGAATACCTTTGGAAAGTTATAAACAGATGGGTGAGCTATGCCTAGTGTCCCTTATTTTTTTTTTTTTTTTAAGTTGGATATATAAAACTCCCTAGGTAGCACTACATTGCCCTGGACAGAGATTTAATTCTGATTCAGGGAACAATGCCAGCTTCTTAATGAAATGCCAACAGCTCCTTTTCAGCCTCCTGGAACAGAGCTCAGGTCCTGCTGGCTGCAGATACTGCTGAATAATGGGAGCAGGCAGCAGAATTCAGAGACCAGGTGGCCTGTGAGTGGATGGACCATAAAGTCAAGAACATAGTCAGGAGGGCAGGTTGTCATAAATTAGAGTGGACAGGAATTGTCTGTGTGCTTACCTTGCCTTGTCTATTTGGGTTTGCAGAGAGGGATGATTAAATAGCGATAGAATTAACTACGGATTTTTGACATATATGGGGCAGTTTCTTCGTCTCTCCTTCCCTCCCTCCATGTACTTATCTATCGAGAGAAAAGCAATATTGATACCGACATTGTAACACAGCACCTGTCGTATCTCATGCTTGGGTCTCTGACAGCTTTCTAGGGATACCGTGGAACTGAGGTGGAGACTGCTGTGGTGGCAATAGTGGTGATTGTGGTGATAACTAACATTACATGAGCACTATCCGTGTACCAGGCAGTGTGCTGAACACTCGGTACACATTCTTTCCTTTACCCTTCACCACAACTGTGAAAGCATAGGTTGAATATCTCTTATCTGCAGTGCTCAGGACCTGATATGTTCAGATTTTTGATTTTCAGTTTTTTTTTTTTTTTTTCTTTAGGGCACGCGCGCCTGCCTTTGCTATAGGGCACGTGCGCTTGCCAGACAGACAGAGAGAGACGAGAGACAGAAAGTGAGAAATCACCCTCCAGGGGGGATGGCCACGCCGCAATCCCTTCTCCTCCATTCTCCTCTCGGGATCTTAGGCACGCACGCACATGCGCCCAGCGTGAGTTTTAAGCCACTGGGTCCGGGACGCGAACCGCAGTTGACTACATGGGAGTCCAGCAACATAGCCATTACCAACTAACTGCTGGTCCCGATTTTTAGTTTTTTAATTTGTGAATATTTGCATATACAGAAGATAACTTGTGTAGGGACCCAAGCCTAAACACAAAATTCACTTATGTTTTATATATACCTTGTACACATAGCCTGGAAATACTTTTATATACTATTTTTCGATTACAGAGTTTTGACATAAAGTTAGGTGTGGAACTTTCAACTTGTAGCATCATGTCAGAGCTCAGAAAGTATTGAGTTTTAGAGTGTCTTGGATTTGGAATTTTTGGATTAGGATGTTCAATCTGTACTAAAGTTACCTTCATTTCACAAACAAAGAACTAGAAAGTTTAAGAGGGTAGATGATTTGCTGAAGGCCACACAGCTAGAAAGGAAGGAACCAACACCGAGGTTCAGGGAGCCCGATCCAGAGTAGGAAGGAAACAATCTTTATCATTTGTGTGGTCTCTTGTGCTTTCATATTATTGCATTTGCTTCTCAGGAAGACCCTGTGGAGATAAACCCAGTCCCTCCTACTAAGAAGTACAAGGTCGACTGCCCTCCCCAAATCTCTAATCCCTCTTCACAGATGCCTTGGCATGAAATTCCTACAATTAGACACTGCTTATTTAAATCACAACTCTTACTGCCTCCCCAAACCACATCTACTGCATCCAACCTGCCCCATAGGAGTTAATCAAGGGAGCAAGTTCATTGACGTGACTTGTAGGATTGGAGGGAACATGGTATATGACATACTGTGCTAATGAATGTGCTGGTTTCCAGAAAAGGCAAATTCCAAAGAGCAAAACCTTATTAATTCAAACCACAAGGGGCCATAATACATGACCTTTCAAATACCCAAGATTAGATCAGCCAATAATTTTCATGCCAAGAACATAATGCTTCCAGTCAGCTGAGGAATACATTGCTCGACGCTTCCATAATTATGACTTAATCATCATAAAAAGAAAACAACATGAAAAACAAAAACCAAAATCCAACTGAAGGATCCTTAGAAAGAGGTCAGACTCAGAAACATTCCCTGAGTACATTTGGATACAGGCTAGAATTTGCAATGAACTGAACATGTGTTTTTTCCTGGCTCTGTGTAGCTTTTCCCACCTCTTCTTCCATTAATTATTTGGTTCCTGCTAGAGATGAGGCCCATTCTGCTCTGACTATGCCCCAGAACATAGCCAGTAAGAAGCAAGATGTTGGGGAGCCCTGGAAGTCCATGATCTAGGTATCATAGGCAGCATGAAGTCCTGGTCCCAGCTCCCACAGTCTGCAAATGAGAATTCATCTCATCTTTGTACCTTCTCTTATTGGTGCTACGTGGACAAGTGAAAGCCGATCCTGAGAGCTGCTCAGCATACAGATTATATGGGCAGACTTGAGGGTTATTCTGAAAAGGAGGCAATAAACAACATCATTCCAAAGAATATCCCACTTTTCCACTAATCACCTTAGTCGAGGAATCCTGCCCTAAATGGGTATGCTCTGGGCCACTGTACATGACCATCCTCAACCCACATATACTTCTTGCAGTAACTTTTTATGTCAACTTTCTCCCTGATTATAAAAGTAATGCATGCTTATTGTAGACAATTTATAAAATAGATGATATCACCATTACCTCAGCAAACAGAAATAACTCAGTTAACATGTTGATGTATTTCTTTCCATTCTTATACTATAGAATGGGGAAACTAGGAAATGTATAATCCTGCAATAATCAGGCCTTCTTTTTCTCCTTTTCCTTTTTCTTTTTCAATTTTTCAGAGGGTAAATGTGCTCACTGGAGAGAGACAGAGAGAGAGAGAGAAAGAGAAAGAGAGAGAGAGAGAAATTGAGAAAGCATCCCCATGGGGGATGATCACACCACAATCTTTTCTTTCCCATTTCTCTCTCAGGATTTTGGGCATGCATGTGTGCAGACTCCATGTTTTTCTCAAACCTTGGGTCTAGGACATGAATTGCATAGTCAGCCAGGAAGGATCCAGCTGCCTTAAACACTGGACACCAGCTGGCCCTCTTTTCTTAAGGAACACTGTATCATAAGTATATTTTCAAGCCATAAAGTATTCTTCAGGGCAGGCCCTATAGCAAGAGGGTTAGGTTCTGTGCATAGGAAACTGGATTCCATATACCCAACTGAGGTTGGAGTCCTGGCCCCAGTGACTTGGGGAACATGCTGTGCACATGTGCATGTGTGCCCAGAATCCTGATGGGATGGAAAAATGGAGGAGAGTGAATTGCTACAGGACCGCACCCTATTTTGGTGTGCCTTTTCTCTCAGGTGAGTGTGCATACCCTCTGACAATTAAAAATTTAAAATAAAAATAATACTAAAAAATTCTTTAAGAAGTGTTGAAAATTATTTTGTTTGCTTTGTTTTTACTATTGTAAACAAAGTTAGTGTGAACATCTTTGTGCATGCATTTTAAACACATCTTATTATTTTCTCATTGTTTCAAAGCTTATGCTGTTCAAGGGAACTCTGAGAAAGTCCCCTCATCCCAGAACTTTGGGGGTCTTCCCAGAAATCTTACAGTTAATTTTACTAATTTGGGTCAAGTCTATTTGCCATAGGTAATCGCCATTCCAGTTTTCTTCTTTGTTTGTTTTTTAAGTTTTTGCCTTAGGAATTTTTCCGAATTTAATCTTTGTATTGTCATTGCTCTGGATCCCAGTTATCCTAATGACTCATGAAACAGTTCATAGAAATGAAGAGTGGTGGTGGATGGAGGTCCTTTGGACTAAGGGCTGGTCATCCAGGCCTACTAGTTGAAGCTCTCTAAGCATTTTACTCACTCATACCTGTCCCTCTGGTAGAGAACCTGGGCAGCGAGGGTCCTCTGAGGCACATTCGTTCCCAAATCCAGAAATATACTGCAAATGACAAAGACACAAATACCACTATTAATTTAAAGAACATTTCATCATATAGGCAGTCTACAAGGGTAGGAATTTCTGTACAGACATGTTTAAGTATGATAGTCTATGTTTGTATATTATAGCTATGTCTTAACATGTGAACCATTTAAGGAAGATAATATGTTTGTGTGAATTTTTAAAATTTCCAATGAATCAGAAGAGTGCTGGATATTGCATAGACTTCATCCTTAGCTGGATTTGGTCGATTAATGGTCTTATTTTTATCCTTTCCCAAGAACAGGTTAATTCTGGTTCCCTATGGGAGTTCCTGTGAGGGGAGATGTCTTGGGCAGCACAACATTTCCAGATTAGTGAAATCTTGCTGGATTTAGATTGTAATCTCCCTCAGACAGGGGCTTCATTTGCTTCTTTGTACTCTGTGAAAAAGCAACTAGGAAAGAGGTAAGTAGATCCAATTTGATAGCAAAACTTTTGAGGCAGAGTTCTCCAAACTAGTCTTGCTGCAAGCAGAAGCCTACATTATCTGGCTCATCTATTAGAGTACAAAGGTATATATGAAGGGGGGCCAGCAGGTGGTGTGGTGGTTAACGGTGCTGAACTCCCATATGTTCGACTGCCATTCACCATTTGCGTACTGGACCTGGCGGCTTGCTTTCTCACTTTCCAAAGCCCTCTCTCTCTTTCACTCTCTCTCTCTCTCCCTCTCTGGTCAAGTTAAAAATAAATAAATGAAGTTAAAATAAAATATATGTTTTTAAAAAAGCTATATATGAAGGGACTTCAGAATTTTCATGGAAAAATGGAATTTAAGTATGAGTTTATTTTAGCACAATACAAGTTGAAATGCATGCATAGTTTTTTCATAATATGCATTTTCCATGAACTTTTTGAATATCCCCTTGTATGTGTATTTATGTGGTTGCATGAAACTAAAATTTAAAGATGTGGATGGTTTTCAGGAGATATGCCAGCCCAGAATCTTTCTGTAGTGGTACCCTGCAGTGATTACCATATTAAGAGGGAGGAAAGGAAAGGGGTTTCTCAACAAAGCATGTTATCAGGAACCTCTGAAACTACTCTTGTGGTGCTTGACAAACCTGCGAGTTCCTGTTCACTGCCTGGCTTCTTTGTTTGTCCATAATTTCCATGAAGGCTGGAAGTATGCAGTCTTACCCTGGGCTTTATCCCTGTGTACCCTGTGCCTTGTCTCATAGGAGGTGCTCAATAGATATCTGATTGATTTATTTTTTCACTAGGAGCCAATTTGAATCTGAATGTCTGTATACTGCTATAAGTGAGGTTGAAGCAGCCCCTTTGCTCTAACTCAGACATCAACTGATTTTAGCCCAGGATAATGAGAGTGCAGTCTTGCTTGACGACTGAAATGCCACCATCTGAGCACATTCCTTTAAGAGATATAAGAAGGAAGGGCGTGGGTGGAGGGTAGGCCCTCCAGAGTTCTCTGCGGCATGGAGAAGGATGAGCTAGATGGAACACGCCTGAATGCGTGAGCAACGATCAGGCCAACAGCTGCCTATATTTGGAAGGACTATCAAATGTGAAATGTTATGACCTAAAAAGCAATGGAAGTGAAAAGACTCTTTTTGCTTTGCTTTCAGACAAGATTTTTTTTTTTGTATATTTGAAAATTTATCATCGCAAAAAACACCAGGCTGTATTAGATACAGATTTGTTAGCAGCAGCACGCAGTTGAAAATGATTTCTTTGGGGAAATGGCAGAGACCATCTAGCATTCTCATTCTCCAATGAATACAATTTTCTCCTCTCCAAATGAACCTCATGCTCGCCATCAACAGGATTGAATTTGAGAAGCTGAGAATTGATAATGACCCCAAATTATCTTCAATTCTGTGAAATGGAATTTTTGACCAGCCCATGATTGCAACCACTGAGTATGACAGTGCCTTTGCTTTGTTGGACTGTCGCATTGTCTCTCTCAGCAAGAGAGGGAGAAAGGTTTTTGAGCTGCTGAAAGCCTCTGAGCTTTCTAGGAGGCTCCGGTGGGTTTACTTGTTAACCTTTTCTACTCTCTGCAACTCCTGGCCTCAGAACAGAGTCCAGGGTTCTCTATGTGTTTGGAACAAGAGAAAAGGGAGTTAGCGTTTGCGATTCCGAAGCATTTGATTCAGACTGTGCTTTAAAACAGACTAGAAAAGAGAGAAGAAAGAACAGCTGGTGGTTTGGAAGGGAGCCACCCAAGAGTCAAGAGAGGTGTGAGTTTTGAGTCCTTTTCTCAATCTTAGCTGCAGTGCCTTGGCTAAATGGGAGGGTGGAAACTGCTGAGTCACTATCAAATCAGTTGGTTTTCCTAATCCTTTGAGAGAAAAATTACAGATGAGTTTATTAGAACTTTAAAACGCCATGCTCCTCACTGCCAGAGGAATCCGAATTGAATAAGCAGTATTTTGCAGCTGCTTTCTTGAGGCTTTGAGGTCAAGGTCAGAATCTGAACTCTGCTTTTATCAGCTGCGAAAACACAAGCACTCCAGCTGATTCGATGACTATGTAAAAATATACCTGATACAAAAATAAAACAAAAACCTAATGTTAAGTAAGTGTGCTTGCATGTTTTCCTCAGTTCAGATTTCTGAGTAATCTGATCCAACAAAAATTATGATTTCATTTCTTTGCAAGAGAATTATATGCACACTTTCTAAAGGAAAGAATAAATTATTCGACTCCATGCAACTTCAGTACCATCAGTTCTTTGGCAGCTCACTAGTAGGCAGCTTTTTAATTCTCACCTGGTCCCCAGGATATGATTTACTTGTCAGAGTAGTTTTATGAAGTGTTTTCTCCTGACTCTGATTCTAGGTAACACCTGATGGGACGAGCAGATGGTGCGCCTCACTTCCTTTTACTGGGCATGATGAAAAGAGAGCGAAGTCACAGTAGAGATGGAACTACTGCTACCTTTTTTCCCCCACTGTGGAAAGAGTCCAGTATTTCTAGATAACCTTTATGGGAACATAGACTGTAAATTGTTAGGGGAACTTGCAGACTATTTGCAGTAGGTTGAATTTTGGCCCTGGTTGATATCTATGTTCTAATCCCTGTAACCTGTGAGTGCTACCTTATATGGCAAAAAAAAGAGACTTTGCAGATATGATTAAGCTTAAGGACTCTGGGATGGGGAGGAATCCTGATTGTTCTGTGTCTCTTAGTCCACTACTGAGTTGCTAAAAGAAATAACAGACCGTGGCATATATAAAAAGTAAAGGTTTATTTAGCTTATGATTCCCATGACTGGAGAGTCCAAAGGTGTGGGGCAAACAACATGGCCAACAGAAGCAGAGAAGATGATAGGTGCATGCAAAGAGGGAGACCTGGGGGCAGCTATCTTCTTTTTATAACAACTCCCTATCTCTGAAATTAACCCCTTCTAACAAGGGCTAGAACTCATTCCATCTCATGAGACAGTACTAATCCATTCATGAGGGTGATGCCTCCATGGTACAAACACACTAGGCCTCATGTCTTAAAGGTCTCATCACCTCTCAGTGCCAATATACTGGGACCAAATTCCAAAATGTGAGCCTTTGTGGAGCAGAGGGTGAGGGAGGTCAAGCCATTATCTAAACCATAGCAGGATCTACCCTAAACATAATTAAAGAAGTAGTTTTGACTACAAAGGAGGAAAAGCTGATGTGATATCAGAAGCAGAGATTCAAATGATGTACTTTGAAGACAGAGGAAGGGCCCTGAGCCAGGGAACACAGGCAGCGTCTAGAAGCTGGACAGGGCAGGAAACAGATTCTCCCATACAGTCCTCAGAGGGAACTAAAGATGTTGGCATCTTGACTTCAGTCTAGTGAAACTGATTTTAGACTTTTAATCTTGAAAAGTGTAAGAGAATAAATTTATGTTGTTTCAAACCACCAAGTGTGTGTTAATTTGTTACATCAGCAGCAGGAAACTGAGTATGCTCTATCTCTGGCTAATCATTAGAATCACTCTTTAGCTTGTTAAATATGGACCCAAGGCCAGTGGGTCAAGTGTTTGATTGTGGGACCCAAAGTCTGCCTGTTAAACTAGCTCTTCATTTTAGAAATGAGGAAATGGAGACTTAGAGTGATAAAGCAATTTACTCAAGAACATAGGGTAGTCGATTTTGAATTTAATTTTTTAATCTTTTGTATTTTCTTCCTCCAGTTGTGCTTTTGTATAAATACCATTTCATTTGAGGCTTTGTGTTGATATAGCCACTAAAATGAAGTAATGAAAGATGAAGAACATTTTTAAAAATGACATAATATTTATTGATTAGAATGAATACGATGCAATCTGGCTTTGTGTTTGGATTCCTGACCTCTGGAACTAACCTTTCCTTGTGGGGATTAGACAGCAGGCTGGGGAAGAAAGCCTTTGAAACTGAGAACAAAGACTGGCATGCAATTTACATTGGTGTGTTGGTGCTATGCATAATAAGTTGCTTAACAGTTACAGCAGGAAGAGGTTTAGATATAATTTATTTATAAATGGTAAGGATGTTTCCAACCCCTATTGAACTTTCTCATAGGATTTTCATCCGAAAACAAGTTTCTATGCACTCTCTCTCTTCTAAGACTTCAACTACTGCCATTGACATGATAACCCCCAGCTTTATTCCCCTAAGCTTCCACTTCTCTGAGATCCAGATCTCCTGGGTGGAACCATTTGGCAGTCCCTACGGCAACTTGAATTTGGCTGAAACCCTGAAGGATTTCAGAACACTCAAAACTTTCTGCAGGGGGCCCGGCGGTTAGCGTAATGGCTATGTTACTGGACTCCCACATAGTCGACCGCAGTTCACGTCCCGGAACCGGTGGCTTAAAACTCACGCCGGGCGCGTGTGCGTGCGTGCCCAAGATCCTGAGAGGAGAACGGAGGAGAAGGGATTGCGGCATGACCATCCCTTCTGGGGGGTGATTTCTCGCTTTCTGTCTGTCTCTCTCTGTCTGCTCTGTCTGGCGAGCACACGCGCCCTACAGTGAAAACCTCTCAAAAACAAACAAACAAAAATACTTTCTGTAGGTGCTGTCTTGGAATCATTTCTTTGGTCTCCGTAGTATTCACATAGTCACTTTCTACTTCTCCTAAGACTCAACTTAGGTACAGCCTCCTTCAAGACGTTTCTCTTAACTCTAGCCCAGACACAGTTTCTCTACTATATAAATTTGCGGTGTCATGTGCTAGCGCATGTTGATGAATGAAAGTATTGGAATTAATGCTTAGTTAGGCATGGAAAACAAGCAAATTCTTTTACTCCAGTGTTGGTTTCAAGATCTCTGTCAAGTAGAGAGAGGTCTGATTCTTCAAACTGGCATTTTTTGAGTAGTGGGGAAGAACTTGGTGGGAGGGAGTCTGATCCACCAGCTAAGGTTCTGGGCAATTCTATTCAGTTCTGTGGGCATGTGTCAGGTACTCATGCAAGCCTGGGTTGGGCAGTAGGCATGGTTTGAGATACTAGGGACACACTTCCTTTCTCTGGGCCTAAGGCACCAGTTTATTAGGAGCCATTAAGATTCCTTTTTTGAGCCTTGGTTTTAAGATTCAGCCAAACCCAGGTTTTAATCCAGTCTCCATCAGTGACCTTGGTCAAGTCACTCAGTCTTTTTGAGCTTTACTTTCCTTACTGGTAAAATATAAACATGAGCACCTATATCTCAAATTTATTTTGAGGGTTACAAAATGAGTTGATTCAGTTAAAATTCCTATCTCCCAATAGCTTATAATGCACACATACCTTTCAACTGTACATTAAATAAAAAGAAGGGAATTATTTCCTAGAGGACATACTAGTGCTTCTACTGACCAAGAGCTGATTGTGAATCTCAAAATCACTGAACAGATTAAGCACATTTCATTGGTCAACTAGAAGCAATCTAGGAAGCTATAGCGTCAGGAAGGTGTCAGAATTGGGGGGGTGGGGAAAAAACAGTGAGAAATGTGTGTATCTATGGTGGTGGGAAGCCCTTTGGGTACCTATATATTCTCAGGGCAATGTTTAATAATAATTAAATCTCTTTTTCTACTTTCCCCTCCACTGATTGCAGCCGTGCTCATAGAAACCACCCTGAAGCTTCTGATCACTGGGCTGGACCAGGGCCTTTCCAAGTCCTTTCCAATTTGGTCACCCTGAGGCTCTCAGAAGCTTCTATAAATGAGTGTTGAAGCCACAGCAAACCTGCTAGGTAGTTTCTTACCTTCAACTCAGCCATTTTCCTATTGTAGGTGTGATGATTTCAAGAAACTCAGGCCCCGAGAGTATGAAACCAAAATGCTGCTGCTTCTCTTTCCAGTCACTCTTGGTGTTCTTGTTCCCCGCTCCCAATCACACTGTGCCTCGCTGGTGAGTAGGCCACTCACAGTTGCTAGAATTGCCTGTTTGACATACCAGGGAAAATGTCCAGCAAGTTGATTTCTAAACTGCTTACACAATTGCTTTTGATTATTGAACAAAGGTTGTTTCTGGAAGTTTGCAGAGGCCTAGATCCTCTTTGACCAAGGTAAAGATTAGCTAGTTATTTGTTGCCATTAGGAGGCTTATGACAAAAGGCAAGGAAGTTAAAGCTATCTGGGAAAGGAACTACAGCAGTTAGAACCTGCTGTGGGTGGTGGTAGATTCTCTGCTCAGTCCTGCTTCAGGTCAGAAAGGAATAGGCAGGGTGCTCACCGCCTTGAAGAGCCATGTACTCTGATCAGGTGTTTATACATAGTTGCCTGAAGACAGGGCTTAAGACTGGATAGGTCTCTGCAGGTGCCTCCCAGGGATGGGCTAAGGGTTTTGGGTGAATTGTTCAGAGCCCAAAGTACTTCACTTAAAAGCAAACTGAGATATTAGGGCCAGTAAGTGGTACAGTGGTTAAGGCACTAGACTCCCACATAGTTGACTGTGGTTTGAAACTGGACCTGTAGGCTTGAAACTCATTCTGGGAGTGTGTGCGTGCATGCCCAAAATCCCAAGAGGAGAATGGAAGAGAAGGGACTGTGGTGTGGCCACTCCCCAGGAGTGATTTTGCACTTTCTGTTTCTGTCTCCCTGGTGAGCACATGAGCCCTGTAACAAAAATTTCTAAAACAAAAAAGGCAAACAGATGGTTACTCTTGTTTCTTTAACTCTCTTAAAACATACTTAGTTTTCGTTTCAATTTTTAAAGACTTTTGTTTCCTAAATTTTTAATCCCGCTCAGAACTGACCAAAGAATTCCTTTCCAGCCACCTTCTCCATGACTTCTTTGTCCATTCTCTTACTCTCCTTAGTCATTGGAAGGTGGCAACTTCCTTCCTTAATATGTTGGGTAAGGAAGAAAACTATATTGAGTGCTTGCTTGTGACAGATTGTTTGATAAACATTTAATTTCACAAAACAATTTTGTAAACTAGACTTTATTATCACAACTCAAATGCAACAGAGAAGGAAAATAGGCTAGATAATTTTTCAATACAAAACCAAAGTTCCAGTTTTTAAAACTGACAACCAGAATAAAGGAAGGAAAGAAAGGAAGGAGAAAGGAAGAAAGAAAATCATTATGGTAGATTGCAAAAAAAAAAAAAAAAAAAAAAAGTTTCAATCACTTTTTTCTTGTATGTGTGATCCTTTGGTGGGGCTTTGCTGCTCTTCTCATTAAGAGATGAAGTCTTGGGGCCAGCCTGTGTCACTGCAGTGAAATACAAGCTCTGAGAGGCTGACCCATATAAGGGTTCTGGGTTTGCTTCTGGAGACCTTTCTGAGTATGTTGGCCTATGTATGCTCATGATCTAGGGCTGGCTGAGGCTGGAGGTGTATTGCAGTGTCAAGACTCTATTAGAAGTGGAATATGTTGGAATATTCACTTTGTAAGCTAAATAATGTGACTGAATGTATAAAAGAACATGAAATAAAAAATAAAAATATAAAAAAAAGACTCTATTAGGGTGTCTCTTTGTCTCTCTCACTCACATGAAAAATAAACTTAAAAGAATGAGGAGATGGAGTCTCTTTTATCTTCTGAAATTTTACTTTAGCCAATAGCAAACAAGAAACTAACAAACATGACACAGGCTTTAAAAGTGCTCCTGCCTTAGGACTTGTTCATCTCTTGCAACCTAAAAGCACTGTGTAAAGAAGCTGAGCTAGCCTCCAGAGGTCCAGACAACAACCTTGCATCCCCACACTAACTGGCAGATGTGTGAATGAGGCAGTCTGGCTGCCCGATGAGTGAGAACTGCAGGTCAGCCTAACCTGACCCAAATTGCCAACCCATAGATTGTAAACAAATAAAACACTGTGTTTTATACGACTAAGTTTTGGTTTTTTTAAAAAGCAATGATAGGTAATCATGCAGTCAAAAAATATGTGTGCAAGTTTTAAATGGCTACAGACTGTTTCAGATTGTTTCATTTATATGAACGGGTCTACCGAAGCTCCAGAGGTCCCCAGGCTCCGGCATACTGCAGGAACAGCAGAATGATTTGCTATGTATGAAGTGTTAGCACAGAGAGGGCCACCAAAGGGGCTATGTTGACAGAAACAAGTGACAGGTTGATAGCAAAGTGCAGATGGATCCCTCTGGACCTGGTAGTTGATATGTAAGCATACACAGATGACAATGTGATATTATGTAAGCTTCTCTAGAATTTATATGCAAAGCTGGGAGGGAGGGGGGGTGGAGACCCCAGCTTTATTGAGGCTAAGTTTTCACTATTTCTTTACTGCTGACTCAAAATAGAAAAGTAAATACAAAGGAAATCTCTCTCGCATATCTGCTTTTATCAGTACCTTGGGTCTCAAACCTCTATTGATCTTGAAAGTTCACCTTTGATGGTTAGAAAAAAATTTTGGGTGCCAACAAAAGACAAAGAAAATCTTTATTGCTTTATTTCTCTATAATATTTCTATGGTTTTCCCATTGAACAGACTTTGAAGGAAGATATAAGAGGTGCTGAAGTTCTTTCCTAAGGTTGGAGAGACTTCTAAAGGAGTAGGTGTTAATACGTTCTTGACTGATGAAAAGTATTTGAGAGGCCTGAAAATATTAAAAATTGGATAAACTTATTTCCAAACTTTAAGGATTCTTCTAAGTGGATTAACTTTATTTTCTGTTTTCTTACACTTTTATAACAATGATTCAATTAAACAAATACTTGCTTTGTAACTACTATGTACCAGGCACTGTGCTACACACACAAACACATTCACACACAGAGGATCTGAGAATAAAACATGGGTACAGGTGGTTCTAATTCAGTATCTAATGGCTTTCCATTTTATTTAGTCATACAACCACTTATTTAACAATTTTTGAGGACCATTACAACAGAGTATGATAAATGTTCTGACAGAGAAGAGTCCAAGGTGTTAAGGTAGGAACTGGGGGCACCTACCCCAGGGTAGCAGAGCCAGGAAGGCTTTCCAGAGGAGATTATGTCTGAGCCAAGTCACAAAGATTGAGTTAGAATGAGCACTGAACAGCCAGAGCAACACAAAGATAGAAAAGTGGCAGTACTGTGTATTTAGTAAACTGTGTTTGGGGCAGTGTGACTGAAAAGGTGTGACGTTTACACTATAGCCAGACTTAAAACAGGGGAGATAGAGATGATCACCCAGGAAGGGTAATAAATATTCAAAAAACCCAGTGCAAGAAGTAGGCTGTGTGTAGTGGTAGGCCAAACATACTGAACCAGAGCAGACTCATAAGTATCAAAGCGGTGAGCAAAAAATCAACTTGCTGACACCCAGGGAGGATGGATTCATGACTGATATGGGGGGAACGTGTGAGGCTGAAAACTTGAAAAGCAGAGGAATCGGAGACACTAGGTATCTGCTTTTCAGACCCGAACATAAAAAAGGAAATTTATTTTCTGCAGAAGCTCTGGAACAGAACTCCAGATGCACAGATGTCAGGAAGTGGAATGTGACTTATATAGGTAAATTGGGGCAAAATACATAAAGCCAAAGGACTTTATTTGGGCATTTTTTGAGGACTGCATCAGGGTACCCTGGACGAGCATAATTCAGGTAGCTCCAAACATGCTCATTAAGGTCTTACAATCCTTAGACAGCTTTTAAAGGCCAAAAACCACAAGAAGGAGGGGAAGGTTGAGAGATAATTATGCCAGTTGCTTCGGGACAATCATCCTTGGCAACCAGGGTTGTTAACGAGAGTGGCATCAGTTCATGGCTGGACTGGGCAGTCTCTGGGCACATGGTTTTGCAGAACTAGGCTTTGGTGTCAGGTTGCAGTGGTCTCTGTGCAAAGTCATGGTTTTGGCAGAGTTCTTCAGCAGTAGTTGTTATTAAGCATAGTAGCAGATAAAAACATCGTCTCTGTGGCCTTCCTGGCTTGGTTTAGTCTGTGTTGACACAAATGACTCCATTTTGATTGTGGAAAACCTCCACAGGAATGGAACCAAAAACAAGTATAGTAAGTCATGATAACATCTCCAGCCTCCTTTTGCCACCATACTTCCAGAATGCTATCAGCAAGGTTTTTATGCTCCATACAGGAAACTAAAGTATTCTCTAGGTTAGTGGCTTATAAATCCTATACATTTAGACAAATAATTATTAAACATAAAAGGTAAAATACTTTTGGAAATTGTTCTTCAAATGAAGGAGATGTCTCCCCCTTTTCATCCCTATACCTATGAGTGACTAATTCTTATTTCTAAAATTAGACAGGATTCAGTACCATTTTGTCTTTTTTTTTTTTATTTTACAGATAAGTGTTTGGAGAATTTGTTCACATAAATAAACGCATATGTGGGACCAGCAGATGATGTAATGGCCATGTTGCTGGGCTCCCATGTAGTCGACCGTGGTTCGAGTCCTGGATCAGGTGGCTTAAACTCATGCCAGGCACATGTACGTGTGTGCCCAAGATCCCGAGAGGAGAATGGAGGAGAAGGGATTGCGGTGTAACCATCCCTCCGGGGGGTGGTGGTGGTGGTGGGTGATTTCTCACTTTCTGTTTCTCTGTCTTTCTGATGAGCACACGTACCTTATAGGAAAAACATCTCCAAAAAAAAAGGTATGTGTGAATGGAAAAATTTTATTATGATATCCCTAACTTCTCTTTTTGAATTAAATACAAAAGAATTGTATAGTGAGCTAGCAATAAACATTATTTTTAATGATCTATCAGATAACAATTCAATTAAATTCTTCTTAATTGTGTTGAAGATAAGTAATTAGAAACCTGATTGGAAAAGGCTTCATTATCCGGCAATTGGAATCATTCAATTTAATTAAGTATTATGCTTCCTGTGGAGGTGCTTTGTCTTAACTCATTTACTCAGAAAAGGCTGGGGAAATAAAAATGTTAATTTTATATACCTTTGCCCATATAATTATTTTTGAGAAAAATGTTTAATATTTTGATAGAGCATACAGAAGGCTTGCCATGAAAGAACATGCCTTGAATACTTCTTACAGAAGCTTTTTGTTTCGCTTGCAGTAACTCTGTATTTTTTATTTTCATTTTTTATAATTGTGGGAATAGATGAAGTCCTGGAATAAAACAAATGTTTAGAATTGTCCTTTAGTTGGCATCCTGAAGATATTTATACCTTGGGACAGTATACCACAGTACTATTCAAGTGAGAGGTTCATTTTTTCTGTAGGAAAAAGGTGATTATGAAGTAAAGTGGGAAATAAGAACCAGCATTGAACTGCATTCACAAGCAGATCAATTTTAACAAATATACATACATTGGAAATTCATGATTTGGGAAATGATTCCTTAAAATGATCTAGTCCTATATACCTCTTGGACCCATCCCAGTCTGAATACCACTGACCCAAATCAAGAAAGTGGAAAACATTCCCTCCAGGAAGCTGAGGATGCAAAGTAACATTTAACTGGTCTTCAAGGCAATCCCTCCAGAATGAAATTAGAGGACGGAGAAGTCCAGGACAGATGTCTCCAAGAAAAAGATGGAATTGATAGGTTACCTGATATACGTGATGGTACTGAGCAAGGTTTTTTTGTTTCTTTTTTTTCTCTTAGAATTTAGGAGTTCCATTCTTTACCAATACTGATCAATGACTTTAGTAAAGCTTAGTGATAACCAGCTGAGAAAACTAACATGGTACAAGGTGGGGGAGGGGGGGTTAGGGGGAGTTACATAAGATGCCAAGGCACTGGTGAGAAATAGATACACTTGGAGGGAAGAAAGTAGCAGTAACAGAAATGACAAAGACAAGCATGTCCTGTTACGCAATTAGAAGGTGGGACAATCATTTCAAGTTCAACCTGGCAGTCTTGGGAGGGGCAGTGGCTCAGTTCATTAAGGTGAGATCAGGTTTGGAGACAAAGATAAATTTTTAAAAATCTTATTTACTTAGGGAGAGGGAGAGATTTCTAAACCCAGGGCTTCCCACAGGGCTCCAATATTTTAATTCAGCTGGGCCAAAGATGAATTTTGATGACCTCTGCTGTAATGGTATTCATAAAGTACAGAATCTACAACTTTTGTATTTACTTTTTGATGAGTTTATCAGTCTTTTTCAAAGACTACATCCTGAGCACTGGCATAGGAATCACCTGGTTGGCCTGCCAGAAATACAAAATCCTGGTCTTACCACAAAAGTATAAGAATGGGTGAGAAAGAGCAGAGGAATTCTGAAATCTGCATTTTAAACAAGCACTTCATGGGATTTTTATATACTTTTGAGTTTGAAAGTCATTGACTTCAACTAAGCCCTTAAGTGAGGTGCAGATTAATTATAACTGGAAGTCTGATCCTTTCCTATTCCAAGGAGCAACCCTGACAGACTCAGGCTCCAGGTATTTTGCATAAGCCAACATACAGTGGGACACCAGAGGCCCAGGGCTTGACTTCCTAGAACCTCTTCTCTCTCACTACAGTGACTTAGCTCAGTCTTGGGATTAGAGAGATGAATTTTTAATTTCCCTCTCCTTTTTTCTCCCAAACAGTATCCTCCTCTGAATTTTAACAGACAGTAAATCTATGCAGACATCCTGCTAGATTTTCAAACTTCTTAAAATAGGATGCTACCTGTGTTTTAAAAAATTCAATTATGCAACCATTTATTAAGAGCCTTCACAAGGACCGACCTACGTTGAGTGCACTAACACACTACTGAAACACTCAAAATCTCAGGTATGGCAGGGATTCTGAACTCTCCATCTCAGCCAGCACATCAGTTCCATTAAGTCCATTTTCAGAGTAGTGTTAGGACACTTAGATTAAAATTACAATGCCTCAAATTCAGGAAATTCTAGGTACCAAAGTTGAAATTAATATGGATTAACCTCTTTGGGCATAGCTCTTCTTAGAGCATTGTCAAGGAGAAAAGATTCCTTTTCTCACCCCTTTGGGTGGTCAAGGCACCTATGACAAAAGATTAACAAGGGAAAAGCATGCAAATTTATTTAAATTTGATGTGACACAGAAGCCTTCAGAAACAAAGACCAAAGGAAAAGGGAAACCTGTGTATTTTTATGTGTATATTTACACTTGTTTATTATCTAACAGCAATTTTTATGAGTTTTCAGGAAATCTTATAAAAATTATGCTTCAAAAACCACTTTTTGAAGAACTACAGCTAATAACATTCATTTTGTCAAACAATCTTATTGGATGCTACTACTGCTTGGAACAAATTTACCTTTGACTATTAAAAATTAGTTTTTGTCAGAAAACTGTAAGTCACAGAATCAAGCCTGGCAGCCAGAAGAAATGGAATTAAGAAACACTTAATTTTTTTGAGGTTGAACCTGGAACCATCAGTGATGGGTTTTCATTTTATTTTGTAGTAAGGGAGAAAATAAATTAGTTTAGTTTTTTTTTTTTTTTTTTTTTTTGTAAGGGAAAGAAGGAGGAATAAAAGAGACAGGAAGAAAGTGGTTTCCGACTTACTTTTTAAGGGAGGTATGAAGAGCTTTGGTTGGATTAGGCTTTCGTACTGTATTTTGTTTCTTTTTCCCAACCGTACAGCTGCTGTCACAATACACTTGTGCCAAATTCCACGTACAGATCATGGTTTGCACAGCTTTCCTTTATGTCAAAAAAGAAAATAGGGCTAAGTCTTGTCAGAGATGAAGTAAAGAAAGACTGGAGAATAGTCTAGCTAGTGAGAAGTGCTTTAAAATCCTTTTCAAATTCCCAAGTCTGCCCTTCTGAAAACACTCTCTAACATTATTTCAATAACCTTTTTCAGCATACCTTGATTTCCGAAATACTTATGAAATTTAATTAAAATGGAATTGAAAGTGAATTTTTCCCTTAGTTTTAAAATAAGAAACTGAAACTGGGCATTTATTATTACTTTTTAATATGGAACAAAATCAAGAGTGCAGAGACTTACAGGAGAGCCAGAGAGAGAATATGGGTAATAAGGTGCTGAATAAGGCAGCAATTTACAATTTTCTGAAATCAGATTTATATACTAAGGAAGAACTGGGACAGAGAAAATTAAACAAGCCAGAAAGATGGGTTTTAAAAAAAGGAATGATGAACAATTATGCACACACACACACATACACACCACCCCAAAAAGCTTTGGAGTGATTATGAAATCTCAGAATCCTAGTTCATAATTCATGTAAATGTGTTGCTGCAGAACTTATTTTTACTGCTCTCCATAAATACACTGTTGACAAAGGAAAAATATTCCTATTTTACTAACTATAGTTAAGGGACATTTTCAGAAGTTGAGTTTTCCTTAAAAAAAAAAAAAAAAAAAAAAAAAAGCCATAAATCTCTCTCACTGCCCTTGGGCATGGCTTAGATTTCTCCTTACCTATTTCCAAAGAGAAAACAGTAAGAGACTGCAGACAGCTGCAACCGAGAGTGACGGAACTGTCAATTTCTCGCAGAATTCTTTTCTAGTATGGCTGTTCTCTATGTATTATTAATCTGTATTTATATTTAACTCCAGCTATTAGTCGGCCTCTCCCAGCCACTGAGCCATTTGCACAGGAGAGGAGAGAGAGAGAGAGAGACAAGGGTGCTATTATTAGGCATCCCTGTGTGTGATGAGGGTGGAGACAATTAAATAACACCATTTTGCTTTGAAAATGACAGCAATTGTTTGGGGTGGACAACTCAGGGCTGGTTAATGTAACCTTTCCCCTTCAAAAGGTAAAACAATAGAGATACATTTTGAAGTACTTAATTAAGCCTTCAGCAATGAGTGTGAGAAAATTCCAGACCCATAAAAACCTCCAGCTTTAGGCAAGAGTACATTTCCTCTGCAGTACTCTGTCTCTGCTCATTTACTGCATCATTTTGACAATATCTCATATTTCCACAGGCTTTTACATAATCTATAAACAGTACAGAAAGGTGAGCAACGGAGAACGGAGACAAAGTTTGAACCTCCCAAGCTGTCACTTCCTTTCATTTTTCCATTAAAGGGTGAGGCTGGAGGGTAGCATTTTTAGATGATTTTGTTTAAAGGCTGAGGCGTTAAAAATGGACACAACAAGAGGAAAACTGTGAAAAACTGCCATTACTTGCTCACTCTCCCAAAGGATGAGTGTCATTTAGTCATAATGAAGGTTCTTTAGTGCTGCTCCCCCAAACCTTTTCCGATCAGGAAAGCCTGGAATCTGTAGGCAAGAAAGAGTCAGAATTAAGTCCCAAACAGGAAAAGTTCAAAGGTTAATTAATATGCCTTTTCAATATTTTCCTTGTTTTCTGTTTCTATATATCGGCCCACTATTTCTTAAAGAACAGACTTTCTGAAATTTTACTCAGAAAACCACAGAAAATTAAGTAATAAGAAATTGTACCAAACAAATTGGTAATATCATCTAAATCAGAAAGGGTAAAGGTGATTCTCATAATACTTGCCTACTGGATAAAAGTTTTTAGAAGTTACCTGTATTGTGACAGACAACACTCTGAAGTCTCAAACACATTATTATTATTATTATTATTATTATTATTATTTTATAATATAATCTTATTTCCTCCTAGTTCTTTCTTGTTTCTCAGGCTTTTATTTTCCCCTTGCTCTTATTGTCTCCTATTGCATTTAATTTAACAGAAGAAAATCAGTTACCTGTGCCACAGAAATAGTTTTTAAAAGCGCCTGACTTTTAAAAACCACTTCTGAAAATAAATTTGAACATCTCCTTTCTCCACATTTAAGAATCCATTTTATCAAGGAAAAAAAATACTAACCTGATTGCCTTCTCTTAAAAAGTATCTTTTCTCTATGACCTGTGAGAAACAAAGATGTTAAGAGCTTTGCACACATTCCTGGAAAAAGTGTCTAACTGCAATGACCACTAAGGAGACTAACAAAATATATACACATTAAGGTCTTTTCAGTAGCTGTGCATGAATTATAATCTGGTGCTAATGTGATCAGGATTGTGGGAGTATTTCTACAAAGGCCTGCCTCAATCTAAGAAGCATTAATGACAGACAGAAATATAAAGAAAAAAGAAAAACAATGAAATAATGAGAGAATGACATAGATCTCATGTAATTCTTATAGCATGGCAGCAAATCTGGCTCTAAGTTTCTCTAGCTGTGAGCCCCAAAAGGTACCGAACAGAAATCCTAAGATAAAGGGAAACACTGGACTACTATACTATACTAGTCCAGCTATTTCTTAAAAAGAAGAAGTAGTGAGTGGCCATATCCCTAAAGGGGACAGTGATAAAGGTCCTCAATGTAGACAGATGACACAACAACAAAA